ATTTTGTGCAAAAAACTTCTTATTCCTGAAAAGAAAATCTAAGAAAAAGGCAATTATAAAAAAATAATGTAAAATTCAATCCAAAAATTGTATTTCACCAATCAAAATAATAGTTTCAACATTCCAAGAAGCTGAAAAAAATAATCAAATCATATATCAACTAATACAGGACTATATTTCAGGATTTTACTATACATTTCTTTTTAATTAAATAAATACAAAACATAATTTTTTTTTTCATTATACACAAGACATTTGTTGGTTTATTTAAATAGTTGAATCACAAGTCATTTTTTTTATCAGAAAAGTCCTTTTTTGAGCATTATTTATATTTTCTAACTTTAGTGCACAAGCTCAAGTTAAGTTTAGAAAGGTCAAGGGCATGCTTTAAACTTTGTCATATCACAGCAAACAGGAATGCACAAATTAGGGATGGTGTTAATTCCCACAAAATTTTTTTTTTTACGAATTCTAAATTTAATTTTTCAAAAAAATCAACGCTGTTGGATACAATTTCTTGAACTCAGGGACTGGAAATCTGCCATTCAACATGGGAAAGAAACTGTAGGATGAAAATATTGCCTAATTATTCAAAATTCTTCTTAAACATCTCCATTCACAGCAGTTGAAAAAAATTTAAGAAAATTGCCTAATTAATAATTCAAAGCTTTCAACATTTTACACTGATTGGTTAAAAAAAATATTCGACAGCATGATAAAAAATTAACAGTGTAGCTAGCAAAACTCAGATTTTCAAGCCAAAACTTTTAAACAGCATTATGTGAAGAAATAATGCAGAAACACGTTTTGCAATCTATACTGTTGATTTAAATCTGTCAAGGCAAATAAGAGAAAATAATGTCACGATTGGTTAATAAAGCAACTGCAATCAATTCAAAATGTTAGTTATTTCATTAAAAAACAATTTCTTTAGTCCCAAAATCAGTTAAATTTTTTAGAGCAGATCTCTGTCCATGGATTGGTTATCCAACAACAGGTCGCAAAGACTTTGGTACCATAAGACCACCAAGTTTGAAGAAGAAGGAATTTTCTTTAATTATTTTATATAACAGACTTAAATCGAACATTCTTTTATCAACTTAAGGGAATTCAAGATGCAAGAACTAAAAATAAAACACCTTAAAAGGAAATTAATCCAGAAAAAAAATGCCACTTATCCCTGTGGTACAAATAGACTGCTCTTCTCTTAATATAGAATTGTATTAAGTTAACTTTTGACAAAAATTCAAGTTAAAGTTACAACTATCTGACTAACTGAAGTACCATTTTGTTCTAGACTCAAATAACAATCACTGAATATTTCTGTTTTATTCTTGACAGGAATTTCAAGCACTGAAATATCAGGTGTTACCTTGACAAATTTAAAACACTGAAACTTTTGTTGTTGCTTGTTGTTGTTTTTTAAAAATCTTGACGCAAGCACTGAAATGTCCACTTTTTCATCTTGACAGTGGTAATGGTAAATAGCAATTCTTGACAGGATGGTAAATAGCAATTCTTGACAGGATGGTAAATAGCAATTCTTGACAGGATGGTAAATAGCAATTAAGAAGGACAGTGGTTACTTTACAATCTCAGGGACAAGATGGGCAAGGAGACAGCATCAGCAAAACTTTCAGCAATTCAAAACTTACCCCTGGTATTTTTGGAAACATCAAAAAAGCAGCCTGAATTATATAAAAAGACCAAGTATCTGTAAATAATTTGATTGTTTCTATAACTCTCATAGTATTGAGTTGCATCAATAATTCCTTTTTGTTAATTAAATTGTTAAAGAATTTTGTTGAAAATTCACTTTTCAGTCACAAAATTAATTCTTATTGCAGAACCCTTTATTTCATGTTTTTGATTTTATTTATATAATTGACTGCTATTATAATTTAATTCTATTCAAATATCAGCTTAATGTCATCCTTCATTTTCATTTTTAACTTACATAATCTTATTCTTCACTGCAGTTTTAAATTTTCTTGGGCATTTACTGATTTTAAATATTGTTGAATTTATTTTTGGAAGTTTTGTACAACTATTCACTGATAATGCTTTAAATTGATATTGTGTGACTGTATTATTCAATGACAAATCTCTTCTTTTAATTTTTTTTTTTAGTTTTGAAAATTAAATCATTCATTTATACACCCCTTTCCAAAATTATTTGGGCTTTCCATAATTTGAATTCGCATTCACCGTTAATAGCTACAGTACTGGACACGCGAAACCCGCAAAAGTCGCGTTATGCCGCGAGTGTAGTCTATGTCGCGACGGGACACTTCGCGGTAAAACATCGCCGCGTGCAAGTTCGCCGAATTTCGTGGCGGGTCACGAAAAATCGCCGCGATGTATCGCCGTAATTTACGGCGAATCTTCAGCAATAATTGTATTAGAAAGTACTACTTGGTCCTTAATTCCCGTGGTCTTTAATTTTGAAAACTTTAAAAAAATCTTGTAAACGTCTTGTATATTTATAAATATTTAGCATTTGAACATGTACAGCGTATACATTTTGTATATTAAAACAAAGCAATCAGGTGCTGGTGAAAATTAGTTAACAATAAAACGAGATTGAAATTACAAAAGGTAATTGGTACTACATCAAAGAACGCACGATAACAAATTGTCCAATTGTTATTTTGATAATAATACAAATGTAATTAAAATCCATTGTTTACTTTCGCACATATTCTATTTTTAGAACAATGCAAAGCGACATTTAGCACCGATTCACAGGTGTAACTAATTATTACGTCTAATACGCTAATTATGATTGTTGAAAATTGTAAAAGTTTTATCACTTAAATTGACATTCTTTACCTTCAATTTCACGAGTAAAAAATGCCAGGTGCATGAGTAGGTGATGAGTAGCAAGATGCAAATCAGATTTTTTTTTATTCCCGCCAAATCAGCCAGGGTATTTGACCCAAAAAATTCCCTCGAAAACAAAAATAAAATCGGAGTTAAATCACACATTTAATATGTAAAGTAACGAGTGATCATTCATGAGGGCATTCTGTGCTTAAAATTAGGGTGTTACTATTTAAAGTATTTACATAAATAGCGACCAACCAGGGAAGGATATTTTCCTTACGTCACGCAGTACTGCATGCGCGCGGCAATTAAGTTGAATTAACTAATAATAGCACGTATCAAATTAAGGTGTGGAAACGGGATTAAAATTTTTTTTTCAAATTAATGAATATTTGTAAAGCATTTATATGGTCACTAGTTTACCATGTGGTAATTTTAATGTGCTTTGGGGTACATGTTCGTTTGTTTATGACTGACGACACTGATTAAATACTATAAGCCCATGCAATAAAACATTTCTGGTAGAAGCGTGGTCATAAAATTGACCGAAAAAAATATCCTTTCATATGCATTATTGTTTTGATAGCAGACACAAGTATTGCACAATATCTTCAAGATCATTAAAATGTAAATAAAATATCACAATCAAAATGCACTTACGATTAATGATATGTCAATAATTGACACAATCAATATCCAACATTTTTTTTACTTGAGCAATAATTAAACATGTGTAATCATTCCTTGACAAAAAGAAATGACAGTTTTTTTCTGATATATAGAAAAGAGGTGAAAGTCAATCGAGTGTCGGCATTTCTTTGATGATTCGGCAACAACTACAGGTGTGTAAACATCAAAGATTCACAGATTCTTCAGAAGAGCCGACCAGTCATTTGTCAGAGGTCATTTCGTGTGTAAATTTTGTATTTATTATTTAACAATGGAAACATTATATTCCTTTTATTTATGGATGCTTCTTTTTGCGCGAGTGTTTTTGTGTCTTTTAGCGCTATGGAATTTCAACAATCGGCGATAATTTTCGGTAACTAACAATTAAATATTTTAACATTTTAAAAACAGGGGTGCAAATATCCGCCATTCAGAAATTATAGCAGACAAATCTTGCGTGTGTTATTTTTTACAAACGTGTAATAAATTGAGTAATGATCACCCGAGAGAACGAAATGTCCCGGTGATCCACTACATTTAGAAATGAACAAGTTAATGTCGTATCAATTATGTATCTTTTTATGTAACTAAATATCTTTTTACACATATATTATATTTATATCTCTACTTTAAACTCAATATGTACCCCCCCCCCCCCCCTAAAAATAGTTTTACACGTGTACATGCACACTATTTACCTGCAGATGGAGCCGCATACTTGTACTGCGTCGCATTTATACATTGAGGTCATGATTCCGCCATTCACGGAAAGTTTTTAACGGTGTTATTTGATTTCGCCGTGGTTATTTATATTTGCTGTTGGCATCAAAGATAAATAGAGAAAGGGCATTTTAGCAAATTACAAGATTTTCTTGATACAACTTCATGTAGATCTACTAATTAATTTTCGTACTTGTACATGTATATCTGGTTTCAAGTTCACAGACTACACTTATAAATAGATCTACATTTATTATACAAATGAACATGTATTATTCCCCGCGAATCGCGGCAAATGTTCACGGCAAAATCGCCGCGAGTTGAATTCGCGGCGATTGTCTCAAGTTGCCGCGAATTCGCTCGCGTTATAAAGCATGAGAGTTCGCCGCGAATACGCGAATTGTGCGGGTTTCGCGTGTCCAGTACTGTAAAACAGGGCTTGTAACAGTTTGAGAGTCGGAAAAAAGTCCCAATTAAATCTGTCAGGATAGAGTCTGCATGGCATAAGGATAGAGTCTGCATGGCATAAATATTTACACCAACTCAAAGCAGAGTTCAACTCCCTGTTGACAGGTCAATTTCAGCAACTGTTGTAGCTCATATGACCGGCTCTAGAATATATATATTTGTATATCAATATCGAAAACCCCTTAACTTCCTAACTGACCATTCCAAATTCAAAAGCAGGGCAAATTTAGCATGTTAAAGTGTTAATTAAAAGTTAATAATAAATATATTGTGTACAAACAAATCCTGAAATGTAGCCTGTAGAATTTGTGCAGTAAACGTTTTTTTTGTGATCAATTTGCTCTTACCAATTTCTCAATTTCCTCTTTCACTGATCTTTCCTGCAAACAAATATGTTCTATATAAAATATCATATCATATTACTATATACCACATTAAATCACTGAGGCGTTATCCGTAACAGAAATTGTGGACGTTATCTTTATCCTGTTTATTAATAATATACTGAAAACAAACGAGTCCCTAATATGCACCTGAAAAGAAAAAGTAACTGTTGCCTGTAATTATTTGCAAGGCAAGAGGTATTACTTTGTGTCTATTAACTGTGTTTACTAAAATAAATGATAATTCCTTTAAAGCTACAAAGCATTCTATATGGTCACATACACCTTTTCATTACAAAATGTGAAAATGCTTATTTGATGGCAAAATAACAAAATGACATATTTTCAAATTGTTTGATATTTATCTGAATAAACATTCTGTTATAGACACATAATTATATTTTTATAGAATGTTAAAATTTCATAAGTACATAGTATTATATTACCCTCTTAATATTTTAGTTTGCATTAAAACCTTTATAAATTAAATGTGCCTTTAAAAGTATAATTTTTAAGGGAAAGATACAGTATAAAATAATTCAACACAAAAATGTGAAGTCTTAAGCTAACATAAAGCATCATTTCATTATTTGACAACTCTCATAATTAAAACACTGACATCATGCACTCTGCAATATTTTATTTACTTACAGAGAAAATAAAATGTCAATCTTATAATTGCTTATAACTTCTGAAATGATTTACATTGGTTAACTGAAGAATGTTTTATACATTTTTAGATAAAAACTAGTCCTTATCAATTAGTCCTTATCAATAATTATCTTCTAAAACAAAACATAGCATTTCAATTAATTTGATGCAGAATAATTTTTCTCACATCATATTTAATTTGTTGCTTACCTTTTCAGTACATGAATATCCTTTTCCTGAATATTTCCAACCTGGCCTTAAAATTGTCATTCTACAATCGTATCTTTTATTTTTACAAAAACCAAGAATAAACGTTTTACGAAACCAAGTATAATTCTTTTACAGAAACCAAGTTGAAAATCTTTCACAAATGCCAATTACCACTTCTATCAACAAGCATCTTTAATAATTAATTAGTTATAACTTTTTTAAAAAATCCTATAAAGCATTTTAAACAGAATTGTTTGAACAAAGACTCGCTCATTCAGACTGTTTGTATATTATTGACATACAAATATTTTCTCAGTTATGGAATGGTAATTATTGGACGGCTGCCTCTCGCTGAATTATCTTTCAAATCAGAGTCTAATATCTCATCCAAAGTTGTTTTTTCTTCTCCTAAATATATCCATGACAACTGTATTTTCAATAACATTGTACTATCGTGACTTTTGTAAAGAATCATATTTGATACCTTAAGACAGATGAAAGCAGTCAATTCGAATCGTGATAAAAGACATGGTATCACGACTACAAGGAAAAATTGTTTATCATGATTTAAAATAGCTCAGCGTCGCCTATCGCTATGGTAACAATGATGTCAACTGACATTGTCCTAGACGGAAAATACAGCTTGCCGGTTTCCTGTGTAAAATCTTTCAAATATTATTCTAGCAATTATCTGTGTATTAAATTTGATTTTCTGTCACAGTGTTTATTTGATACTGTTGGTACTGCCAATAAAGAAAATTAAGAATCTGTCAAACTGTTGTCAGATTTTATTTTCTCCCCGTTGACAATGACAGAACATTTTGACCCATTTCTGACAATGTGTATCCCAGGGTAGCTGATAACTAGCATGATTTATTGCTTTCATGTGACGATAATTTCAAAGATTTACTGCCATGATGCATGGAAACTCGTGCATTTTTCCATTCAATCAATTCCAATTTGTTTGCCGAGTTAATAACTTAAGGATTTCCATAATCCACGACAAATATCTCACACTGGCAACATTGCAAACTTTGAATTTAGCTAATATAAAAAACATTTGATCTGCCTTTGTTTTGTCGTAAAGCTATAAGTCCCTCAATATTCACGTTCATTGATGGAGACAGAAATAAGAACAGCAGTAAAAGTATACAAAATACTAAACAATATATGTTTAAGACAGTATATGGCATTACCTTCGAATTATACTCAGTATAATAACACCACTTCATGCTGTCCTTCCATGCATCATTGCATGTACAAGTGATTGCTTCCTGCGTAAAAATGCCAACCTTCTGCTAAGGTTATTTTACAAGAATTAAAAATCTGTCTGAATTCAAACCCTCAGCAGAATTCAAACCCTTAGTTATGAGGGTCAGTGATTCAAGCTCAGCAACCTTAACTAATTGGTCATAGCAGTCTCTATTAATCAAAATAGCATAGAATAATTACTTCACATGACCTGCCGTTAAACCATAACTTAATCAAACCACTGAAATTATCAAATGACTACTATATTGTGATGGAAATTATGGTGTTTCGATATAAAGTCTTGTCAAACAGACAGAAATACAATTTAGTTTATTATAGTTTAAAGAGAGGTTTATTGGTATACATATTGATTACAAGTTAAAACTTCATGTCAGCTTCTATAATAACTAATGTGAACTTTCAATCCAAAAGTTTCATATTACAACAAGAAAGCTAAGACAGTCACAAAGCGCTCACCTGACCCAAACATTTTGATAACGTTTTTTTAACTCTTATTTAACGGGGTGCAACGATTCACCAAAGTTTGAATATATATGAGCCGCGTCACGACAAAACCAATGTAATGCGTTTGCGACCAGCATGGATCCAGACCAGCCTGCGCATCCGCGCAGTCTGATCAGGATCCATGCTGTTCACTATCAGTTTCTCTACTTGTAATAGGGTAGGTAACGAACAGCATGGATCCTGATCAGACTGTGCGGATGCGCAGACTGGTCTAGATCCATGCTGGTCACAAACGCATTACGTTGGTTTTGTCGTAACATGGCTCATATGAATAAACTGTTTCCCATGGATTAACTGATTTATAAGTTGAAATTTTGGTTCGGTACATCAAGGCACCAGCTGTCAATCAAGAGCGCCTGCAGAAATATTATCCAATCAGCATTCATCATTTCATAAACAGTATCGCATGTGAACAGAAAAGAAATTGACAGGCATGTTTCTTTTTTTTTATTTAAATGTTTGTCATTTATTACTAATTAATTATTATTCAAAGCCAATATAAGGTAAACATTATACAATTACAAGTTTTTTAACAGCAAAATGATTTGTATGAATTAATTCACGAAAGTCAGGATTTGAAAAGTTCTTATATCATTTTCTTTGATTGTTTCATTTGTTTGATTTCACGGCACACCAACACAGTGTAGGTTGTAACAGGCATTTTGGAAGAGCTCTTTTTTTCAAAATTCAAAAACAAAAATTGTGTAAAACTGCAGGCAGCAACAATAATAGCTTAATACTCATTAAAACGTCTAAAACTCAAGAGAATTTTTACAGTCAGCTTGGAAGGAGAAATTAAAAATTCTATAACTCTCCCCGTCTTCAAAGGAGATTGAGAATCTGTCATTTTCTTGAACATGAATAATATAGAAGCTATGATTAAGCCTGGTGATTTCACATTTTTTATACAGAGCTTTAAGAAGAAAAAATAATTTACCGAATGAAAGAGTCAACTGTCATTTTGTTGGAGACAGTATAAGAGATAGGGATGTTTTAAGGCTTCATTAAGTAGCCCGTCAGTAATGAGTACTTGTAAGAATATATACATATATTTCCCATTGTCTCTAATGTCAACTGATTGAGGGTATTTGCATAAAATTGAGAGGAAAACATCAACAATCTTATATGATTATAGGGTAATATTTTTTTCCCAAATGTGTGCCATTGAGTTATTGTTATGAATAATGTTTAAGAAAAATGAAAATTTGCATAATTTTTTTATGGTTAGATAATTGTTCGAGAGGGGGCGGGAGACAGGGCTGGCTATGTTACGTTGTGCTTTAAGTTACATCATTAGTAGAACCACCAACCTTTTGTAAGCTTTTTCAGCTGCATTAAGCTGCGGTCTCACTTACTCCCGGCAGAGCCCAGGACCACCCACGTAAGTTACGGGGATGATTCGGGTTGAAATTATTGTTGCAGTCACACTTACCCAGGCAGCACTACGGTAATTCCAAACTAACCATCCAGGATGCCTTCCAGACCATCAAGGCATAGCCCAGGTGAAGCTACGGTTCATGCCAGTGCTTCCCTGGTCGTTCCTGAATGGCGCCTGAAGAGCCCCGGTTGACCCAGGCAGAGCCCCAGTTGATACAGGCAGAGCCCAGGTAGAACCCCGTTATGAAGTTTTCTGGAAGTACTCAAAACCCACAGACAGGTCGAAAGGTCAGAGGCAAATGATATTAATACAATGACCCAATTAAACCACTTAACCATGGAGTGTTCTTGTGTTTAAATTTAACATTTTGAACACCAGCCATGATAATGACTTGTCTGTGCAATATGAAATATGAACCTTATGGACTGTGCAAATGAAACAAGTCCATATGGGGTGTGATATGGATTTGATATGGACTTCTTGGACTCGATGTAAAAGTTGAAAGTTGTAAAATACATGGTAATAATTCTGCAAGGGTAAACCTAGACTTAAGTTCTGCAGAAAATCTTTATCATATTCAGGCTCAAAACTTTGGAATTCTCTTTCCTTAAGCCCCAGTCACATTAGAGCTTACGACAAGTGAAGACCAGTTCACGATCACCAGTGACCTCTGGTCGCGGACAATCTTTAAAACGTCTTACGACGGTCATCGGTGATCTTTGACAGTCGCAGGTTATCTTATTTAGGTCCCACGACCAATTTCAGTCGTAGACAGGTTTTTGAGCTTGCACAAAAACCTCCTTGCGATCAAACAGGTCGCTAGTGATCTTATAAGGTCTTAAGGCTGTCGCACGATGGTCGTTCGGAAGTGCGACAATCTTACGACAGTCTTTACAAATTTCCAATAGTCACTGATAATCTTAAGTAGTCTTTAGTAATCGTGTGATGGTCGTACGACAAGTTGTAGGTGATCGCATGTTAT